AATATCCATCCATGCTTATTTAACATCATGTCACCTGGGTTCTGTTTATAATCATTTGTTAATACAACAACAATACATATTAAGCTCTTAATCTATACAACGTGCTTCTAACCATTGATAAAATAGATTCCATGTTCGATAATATTCTGCATCTTCCCTTTCTTTGATTTTCAGTGTCAGTCTATCCATTTCGGCACAGTCCAATATCTTTTTAATTATTTCTTGATCTGTAGGTGTTTCTTCATTTTTCAAGTATTGTGCAAATATTATCTTTGTGGCTGTTAAAATATGCAGTATTAAATATACATTTTGTTTAGCCACACTTTCTGGTATTATACCTAATAGAAAAAGTTCTGACTTAAAATCTACAGGGTGCACTTCTCTTTAAAGTACAGCTGGGTGTATCAGGTCCCCCTAATCTTCCCTTCCAAAATTTTAGACATGATGCACGGTTTGGAACTGATGAATTGTGTATCAAATCCTAGGGGGTGGATTGCAAGGGACGTGGAAACCCTTGCTTAGAGCAAACAGTTGTGCCAGCCTTACCCACCCACCCCCATCCTGTTCTCTGGATGTTGGGTGACAACTTCCAGAACCTCTTTGTGACTGAGAAGAAATTATGGGCTCTGCAGTGCAAAACAGCTGGTAGACACCAGGTTAGGGAAAGCAGAATTATGCCGCTCTGAAACTGTGGACTTTAGTAGTATAAACTACTGACTTTCTTACACCTCTACCTATTTGCATAAACTCCAATATTTCCTTGGGCAGCAAATACATGGGCTACAATCTTTGAAAACTTGCTGCAGATTACACTTAGTCTTTTAAGACTTCCTATTTGTTTATTTGTTTATAAATAAAAAAGCTTTAGCCGTAGATTCCTTGTGTCCCCTGATCCATAACACTAAAAAATCTGGATTTCAGATAGATGGGCCATGCAAGCAGTGAGGAGGCATTTGTTCTCTTATGCAACCTCTGATGGAGAAAAGTTCCGAGATGTGCCTCTTCTGCTTACGTGATACTGAACATCACCAGGCAACAAAATCTTATTTTCTTATTAAGGACAACCGTAGTGGAAGGATAATGCACTTCTTACAGAACAGGAGCATTAATGTCATCTGCAAGAGCACAGGGAGAATTGCTAGACCCTCCTTTTTCTGGCAAGTGGATGAAGAGATAAGGCTTTCAAATTTTGCTGGCGTTTGCGACAAATTACACAGGAAGTCAGAGAATGAGGACAATACTTAAGAAGAGGCACAATACTTTTCCCCCCTATAAATTGATAGAATTCCTGCTTCAGACTAGCAGTTTCGATAGAAACGCATCTCTGCACGACTATTTGCCGGCTTTTTTCTTTTTATCGTTTTTTTAACTGAATGATTGCATTTCAAGCGGGCTGAAAATCTACTGAGTTGGTTTTACAAGTTAAAGAGCTTGGAAAGACAAAGTAGCTACTCTGAAGAGTTCCGCATCACCACCATTAGCCTATTACCATCACAGTTGCAATTTCTTTTAAACTTTGCTTTTTCTCAAAAATAGTTACTTTTGAGTTCATTTCATTACAACAAAAAGATTCAGAATGTTGCAAGCTATGGTATAAGATCCCTTCTCCTTTCCTTCCTCCTCACTTTAGCATTCAGCAACAGAGCACGAGGCAGCAGCACAAGGCATAGCATAAGTCACACTTCCACTTGGGATATCCCTTCACCATTTAATGGAAACCATACCTGTTGCTATAAAAGTAGATCACAGTTACATTGCCAAAAAAGTGAGGTTACTTGTTGCTCAATGACAATTGTAATGTCGAGCTGTTATGCCGTCACAATTGGAATTTTAAAAAAATCAGTGAAAGTAATTTATTTGTCATTTGTTACTTCCAAGTCCTGTGAGATACTGTCATTTTCTGACATGATGCAGAAAAGGTGCTTTAACTGAGATTTTCCAATATGTAAAGATACTTAATCTATAAATTCAAAGCCAGATAATCATTTAGTTTACAAGGCCATTTAAGATTTTTTTTCAAATTCTATTTACATTATTTCATTAAAGCTATTAAATGTAAGAACAATGCGAATAGACACCTCTCTGTTAAGCAAAACAGGCATTTATGACCTTTTTATTACATTACCATTACATGTAATATTACTCCTGTTCATGTATCACCAGAAAAGAAGTCAAATTCTCAGAAAATGGAAGCAAAGAAAAAGAAGACTGAAAGAAATCACTAGTTTTATCTCAAAGCTTTTTAAAAGAAAGCAAAGGACATTTATTTTTATTTATTTAGATCTGCAGTTTAGCTCTTCTCTAGTTTCCAGAAAAGTCTATAACATAGAATATATCCACACATATTCAGTGTCTCTCTCATTTACTTCCACATTGTCCAGAAAACTAAAGATTGACTCATATCTTTATCACAGCACACTTTGATTAATAGAGAGTTCTGAAGGAAAAAGTGTCTTTGTATCAAGAAATGGGCCAGATAGAATCGAAAGCCAGTGCTCTATACTATTTAGAAGGCTGACCTAGCACCTGGAAAAGTACTTTACAGGGTTGTTGTGAAGGTAAAATGGTGCAAGAGCTGAATAGGATACACCACCCTGAGCTTCTCGGAAAAGGGATGTGATATAAGAAAAAGTTACTTATTCATAACTCTGGTTTGTTTGAGCCATCATCTATGAATTCACACATATGGGTGTCTCTGCACTTGCACAGAACCTCATCAGAATATTCTAGTGCTTAAAGAAAGAGCTGTTAGGAAAACATATCTCCCCTGTGCATGACAGTGTACCTAGTGGTTATCCCTCAGTTCTCCTACAGTCTGCTGCTGTCTATGAAGTGAATCAGTTGCATGGCAGACTAAGGGGAGGTTGTGTTAATTCACAGCTGACCACTCAAAGCACCAAAGTTATCGGTGAATAATCTGTTTTTCTGCTTTATGGTCTCTGTGAATCACATATATGGATGACTGACCAGTTCATTTATTGTGCTGGTGAAATTACACCAACACAGAAGAAATTACTGCTCTTCCAAATCACACTTTGATGTCTCACCTATAGTGCTTAATGAGTGTCGAGGGTTGAAACAATGTTGCTGCTTTGCAAATATACCCCAGCTGGATTTCCTTGACAAAGGCAATAGATGCAGCAGCAGCCCTTGTGGGGGTGTCCCTTCAAAGATACAGGGGCTGATCTTTTTGGTAAGAGAGCAAGAGTCTACTCACAAGAAACTTCAATAAGCAGAGAAACTTTGCCACGTATACCCCTAGTTGTGTCTGGTGGACAGTTTTCTGGATATATGCATGATTCTCCTTAGTGTTTGAGAACTCTCCACACTGCCAGCTTCAGCCCGACTAAATCTGGGTGATGGAATTGTCCCTTTGTTCTGTGACAGTAGATAAGGAATTAGTGATAGCTGGTGTATGTCTTGTGCCATTACTTTCAACGTTGTGAACCAGGTCTGTCACAGCCACCACGGGGCTATCAAGATCATGCTAGTCCTCTCTCAATGAAGCTTCCCTATTATCCTGTATAAGAAAGGAACTGGCAGGTAGAGGTAGAGAAGACATCTCGACCACTGAGTCAAGAAGGTGTCCCCAAGGGAACCCTGTCTGCAACACTTCTCTTGTTTTAGGTGGTGAATTGATCTATGCTTGGCTGGCTCCATTGTTTGATTATTGGTAGAATCTGAAAAACTGGCATGTTTGTACCTAGCAGTGATCATTTGGAGCTTGATGTTTATTCC